CGGGGCTTCTTTTGAGTTCTCTGTGAAGGACTAAGTTCTCCCATTCAGAGCTTTTTCTGTTGAGAACCTAAAAGCAGCACTGGCCTTCCTCCTCTCTCCAGCAGTCTTTTGCAGTGCCTTGGCAGGAATATGTCAGGAGCAGTGGCAAGGGACAGCAGGCTCCCAGAGGCAGTGCAATCACTTTAATGGCTCTGTGTAAAGCCACCACGTTTTACCCTCAACTTATCCACAGCACGTATGAAGAGTTATACTTCAAACCTACTTTCAACTGTGCAAAGCTTGTGCAAAGCTTGTATGGTAAATATTTTTAGAGAGACAAGTCAATAGAATGGATTCAGTATGTAAAACGTATGCAAAACAAATATTAACTGATGTAGCACAATGAAGGCAAAATGTCTTACCTAATGTGAGTAAAACTGTCCTATAGTAAGAGAGCAAAAGCCACAATAAAACCAGAAAGACATCCTTCTGCACGTAGGATAAGATGCAGATTAATAACTAGAATTTTTCAACTTTTATCGCCATGTTCTACAAACTGGTTAAAAATACAAATTCCAAAATACAGAAACAATTAAAGGCACACATATTTTTATATTGCATTTTGCATTATAAATGTATTATTTCTGGATTATTTCCATCAAACACACACTTACTTCAGATAGGCCTTTCCCAGTTAATTGGAATACTCCAGTTTTTTGAGCTGTCTCCAAATGTGCTTTTAAGGCACTGTTTCCCATCTTCTAATTCTGGTGTCACAAATGGTTGAGGCAGAACGTCAGTACTATCAGTCTCATTCAAGCCACCATTAGAAGAGCATCTGTTTATTTTCTATTTAAAAGCAACATTTAAAATGTACTTAGACAAAAAAATTATCTACGTGCGGTTCTCCTACCAATCTACTCTTCTCTTGATGGAAATTTTAAAAAAACTATTTCAAAACATATTAATAACAAATTCAACACAAATTGCTTATATTAGAAAGTCTGTGCTTAACATAACACAGACATATACAACAGGATAGTTTTTTTAAAAATCGTAAGACCGAATGTATTTTATTAGAATGCCCGCCCTTCTGAAACTAATTTGTTTACAAGTAAGCATGCTTATGTTCTCTCTACCTAAAGAGATTAATTCACTCAGGCTTAAAGGTTTTTAAGTGGGCAGCAAGCTTATATAAACATAATCAGATGGGCAGGTCACCCCATTAAAGAGCATTAGAATGTTAGAAGCCACTGAAACCAATGTATAGTTATTGTATATAGCAAATTCGTATTTTAAAATCAAGCTACTGTCATTGAGGCTTACTTCTACATAACAGGCACAGAACTGAGCTGTACGGTGCAATGTTTTCCATACTTACCAAGGTGTAATAAGCACCCAGTGAATTCAGTGTGACTTCATTTCTGCCTAAGCATACTTACAGACGTACTACCATGCTTTCTTCATTCTTGTAATCACAACATTAATATTCACTTAATGATAAGCTGATGTATTTTCTACTTTTTGTTCCTGTAAGAAAGTTTCTAGTGACTGGTCCTGCCTGATTCTGTATTCTTGCATGGCAGGGGATTGAACTCAATGGCCCTTGTGCTCTTCCAACTCTACGATTCTATGAATTTTGAACTAAGACAGGTTTTTTTAAATAATCAGGCACGGAATGCCATTTTTCATAGTAAAAGCTTAAAAGCTTACATTTGAGACACACCTGATTTGCAGGAAAGGCAATTACTCATCAAAATACTTGTTCATAAATATTACAAACATTTTTGGGAGAAGGTTCAACCAGAACTATTTGAGAACTATATGCTTATGCAACTGGGAGAGAAGAAGAACTTAAATGAGCAAGTGTATACCACGCATTCACCCATTGTTACAGCTAGTAAAATACTCTGATCAATGCAAGAGATTCTGGAGGATGTTCTTTGGCTATCTACACAAACTGGATAAAGTAATGGGCAGTCATTGATACATTTCCTCACCTATATAGTTTTGTCATCCCTTTAAAAGGGTTATTCCCAAACTCTGGTCCTCCATATGCTTTGGACTTTGACTTCCTGCAACGTTAGGCACTTTGAGAAATTATTAGAACTGAAGTCCAAAAACCTGGAGAACCGGTTTGGGAATCACTGTTTTGAAAACACAAATTAGATGCGTGACAAAGGACCTCAGCACACAGTGTCTATCCATTCTACAGGAGGCAGTCACTGGATTTAAAGTGGATAGACACTCTAGTGCAGGCATAGGCAAACTTCAACCCTCCAGGTGTTTTGGGACTTCAACCCCCACAATTCAGAACACACTACCAACTGTTTGGAATTGTGGGAGTTGAAGTCCAAAACACCTGGAGGGCCGAAGTTTGCCCATGCCTGCTCTAGTGTGATGAGGTGGGAAGATGAATATATCAAATTTTGAGTGGACTTGAAAAAAGAACTGAACACAAGGATGTCATAAGGAGGTAGCAGAAGGCATTTAACTCCTTAACAATCCTACGTTTTGTTTCTTTTCCTTTAAAACATTGAAACCTTTTTATTCAGGCAGGTTTTTAAAGAAGAAAGTTCTTAAGAGCAAACTGGGGTGAGGAGGTGCTGTGGGGCATTTGATTATTTTAATAGTTTTTGAGGGGTTTTAATTAGCTAGTTTATTTAATTCTCTTTTAGCATTTGTCTGTTATGAGGTTTAAATTGTACTGTTTCTTATGTCATGCGCCACATTGTATCTCAATCGAGAGATAAAACTGGGATATAAATAAATAATCACAACAAAAAGAAGCTATGGAGTACTTTATTCGATTACTATGTAGCTTCAAATAGTTTATGACCTTAAAGTGAACCTATCACAGGATTTTCGAAGGCTAACTAAGAATGAGTGACTTGCCCAAGGACACCCGGTGGGCTTTCATGGCTGAGCAGGGATTCGAACCTTGTACTCCAGAATCATTGACATACAATACACCATATTAGCTAGTACATACTAGTGACAGTATGTACTAGCTAATATGAGTTTATTTGTTTACTGTATTTTACCCCACTCTTTCTGAACCCTGAAGAGGACTCAGAGCAGCTTCCAAATTGACAACCATTAACATAAAAACATACAAAATTAGAATATACATTGAGCATTAAAATCATGAAAATCTAAAACACTTACATATAAATACTTTAAATAAGGTGTTAAAACAGTACATATAGACCCGAAATCATAATCCAGAAGCCATTCCAATCACATTGCATTTGCTTTGTAGCTGCATACAGCTCTTTGCTATTCTCCAAACCTTCGGTTCCTTAGCCAGGTTTTAACTTGCTTTCTAAAGGTCAGGAGGGAGAGGGCCAATCTAATTTAACTGGGGAGTTCCACACGCAAGGGGCCACCACTGAGAAGGCTCTGTCCCTCGCATCCACCAGCCGCACCTGTAAAGAAGGTAGGACCGAAAGCAGGGCCTTCCCAGAAGATTTTAGCATCCGGGATGGTTCATAGGAGGAGATACGTTTTGACAGGTAAGCTGGGCCAGAACCATTTAGGGCAGTGGTTCTCAACCTGTGGGTCCCCAGATGTTTTGGCCTTCAACTCCCAGAAATCCCAACAGCTGGTAAACTGGCTGGGATTTCTCAGAGTTGTAGGCCAAAACACCTGGGGACCCACAGATTGAGAACCACTTATTTAGGGCTTTATAGGTTAAACCACTGAGCTGTTGAATTTGCTGATTGAAAGGTCAGCAGTTTAAATCCGGGTGTGGGGTGAGCTCCTGCTGTTAGACCCTGCTTCTGCCAACCTAGTGGTTCGAAAACATGTGAATATTAGTAGATCAATAGGTACTGCTTCTATGGGAGGATAACAGCATTCTACGCAGTCATACCAGCCATGGACAACGTTGGCTCTTCGGCTTAGTAATGGAGATGAGCACTACCCCCCAGAGTCAGATACAACTAGATTTAATGACATGGGGAAACTTTTACCTAGGCTAAAATCAGCACTTTGAATTCTGCTGGGTAGCAAATTGGCAACCGGTGGAGCTGACGCAGCAGTTGAGGTGTATGTTCCCTGTATGTCTCTCTCATGAGAAATCTGGCTGTCGCCCGTTGGGATACTCGAAGCTTCGGAACAGTCTTCAAAGGAAAACCTACGTAGAGCACAATGCAGTAATCTAATTGAGATCTAACAAGAGTGTGGACAACAAGTCTGGTTTCTTAAGGTAAGGGCAGCTAGAAGAGACCTCATGGGCCATCCAGCCGAACCCCATTTTGCCATGCAAGAACACACCTTCAAAGCACTCCCAACAGATGGCCATCCAGGCTCTGCTTAAGGAACTCCCTGGAGGCAGTATATTCCCTTGCCAAGTCTCTTATAGTTAAATTTAAGTCCTGTTCTGACATTATCTTGACTTCACTGAAGTGGTTTTGATCTGAGACAAGATTATAACCCAGGCCTGGGCAAACTTGGGCCCTCCCTGCAGGTGTTTTGGACTTCAACTCCCATCATTCCTGACAGCCTCAGGCCCTTTCCTTTTCCCCCTCAGCCGCTTAAGCGGCTGAGGGGAAAAGGAAGGGGCCTGAGGCTGTCAGGAATGATGGGAGTTGAAGTCCAAAACACCTGCAGGGAGGGCCCAAGTTTGCCCAGGCTTGGAGTGCAATTTCCCTCCACGCTGGCCGAGTTTGCCCCAAATTATGACCCAAGGAAGGAAAGAGGGCGGCGACAGCAACTTTCCCTTCCGACTTACCGAGCTCAAGAGTCTTCTCTGCCCGGCATCCTGGCAACACACGCCCTCAACGTCAGAAAAAACCCCAGTCCACACGGCTTGGACGCTCCCGGGCCGAGCTGCGGTACCCGGATGAAAGCAGCAGCCTCTTTAATCTCCCCGCAGCAGGGATAATGGCGAACTGAGGAGAGCGGGTTGGATCCTCACCCAGGCTTAGCGATTCCGCTTCCGCCACAACCAAAATGGCCGGCCCGGGCGGCGCTGATGTCATTTCCGGAAACCGCTGTGTGGGCGGAGCTTAAGGAACTAATGAGAGTTACCTCTCTTTGTCGGGCAGTTATTTTCCTCCTGACCTGTCTTCTTCCGGTCCAGAGGGAGTAGTGTTTTCTTAGCCACACTCAGTATGGCGGGGAGGAATTTGCTAAAGCAAAAGAAGCGGGCTCCTCCGGAGGAGAGGCGCACGGTTTGCGGCACGGCGGCTTCAAACCCCTGGGATCCCGTCCAGGCCTCGGCGGCGGGGCTGATGCTCTCCCGGGCCCTGTCCTCAGGGACCCTGTCCCAGGTGAGGCCCGTTGTTTGTCTTCTCTCCTTCCCCTCTTGAAGCTGCACTGCAAAATTAAGGCAGTTTGATACTACTTTAATTGCTACCGCTCAGTGCTATGGAGTCCTAGGAGTTGTAGTTTGGTGAGGTTCCAGCATTCTCTGTCAGAGAAGGCAAAGACCTTGCAAAACCATAACTCCCAGATTGCATCGCACCAGAATTACCTGGGAAGGAATCCCACTGGAGCATTGCAACACACCCAAATACCTGGGAGTCACTCTGGACCGTGCTCTTACCTACAAGAAGCACTGCCTGAACATCAAGCAAAAAGTGGGCGCTAGAAACAACATCATACGAAAGCTGACTGGCACAACCTGGGGATCGCAACCAGACACAGTGAAGACATCTGCCCTTGCGCTGTGCTACTCTGCTGCTGAGTATGCATGCACAGTGTGGAACACATCTCAACACACTAAAACAGTAGATGTGGCTCTTAATGAGACATGCCGCACTATCACAGGGTGTCTGCGCCCTACACCACTGGAGAAATTACACTGTTTAGCCGGTATTGCACCATCTGACATCTGCCGGGGAGTAGCAACCAATAGTGAAAGGACCAAGGCAGTGACATCTCCAGCTCATCCCCTGTTTGGGTATCAGCCAGCACGTCAACGACTTAAATCAAGAAATAGTTTTCTAAGATCTACAGAGACACTCGCTGGAACATCTCAGCAAGCAAGAGTCCAAAAGTGGCAGGCTAAAACCCAGAACCTCAATCAATGGCTGATACCAAATAAGAGACTCCCTCCTCGCACACAAAAAACTGGACGACTTGGAAGGCACTGAACAGACTGCACTCTGGCACCATGAGATGCAGAGCCAACCTTAAGAAATGGGTCTACAAAGTGGAGTCCACGACATGCGAGTGTGGAGAAGAGCAAACCACTGACCACCTGCTGCAATGCAACCTGAGCCCTGCCACATGCACAATGGAGGACCTTCTTGCAGCAACACCAGAAGCACTCCAAGTGGCCAGCTACTGGTCAAGTTTGCAAACTTTGTGGTTTGTTTGTTTGTTTTTAATGCAATACAACTGTTTGGTTTGCTCCTGACAAGATAAATAAATAGTGAAATTGGTGCCAAACTAATTTAATGTGCTATTGAAGGCTTTCATGGCCGGAATCACTGGGTTGCTATATTGCTAATTTCCCTTTGGATGTTTTCCTTCTAAATTTCCATGTCCATTCTCCATGTTTGGAAAATTTTCTCTATTATTTCTTCTTTTGCCTCACAACCTCTGAGGATGTCTGCCAAAGATGTGGGTGAAATGTCAGGAGAGAATGCTTCTGGAACATGGCCACATACAGCCTGGAACACTCACAGCAACCCAGTGATTCCAGCCATGAAAGCCTTCGACAGCACATTGTTTGACTGAATTTTGCATTCATATTGTTAAAATTAATTTCAGAAAAAAACTGTACCGGATTTCAATTTACTAGCCCTTCTTATACATTTACTAGACCCCAAAAATGGCATTTTGTTAAACGACATGCGCATGTGGTCTGTCTACCCTTCAGATAAGGGTGTCTGGATCAGCAACTATTGCAGTTAGAGACCTCGGATTTTGGGAAATTTAGTTTAACACCTGACTGGTGCTATAGCTAAAATTTGAACAAAATTGGAGAATATGATGGTGGGAATTTTTTAAAATTTTATATCACTTGGCCTTTAATGACCCTAATGTTTTTGCTTATAGGTGCACTCAGATTTGCTCTAAAATGTGTGATCAGGATAGTAAGCTTTAAACTAAAACAAAAATTCTCTCCTTCATTTAAATGCAAGTTTAAAAGTATTATTAAATATCCGTATCAATTGGAATAATTCCCAGTTTAGCTTTTGTGAAATTCTAAGCAAGGGGAGACTTCAGTGGATATTAATCTCAATCTCTATATTTTGTCATGTTTCTGTCACAGGATACTTTGGACAGATGTCCAAAACCAGCTCCTTGTTTTGTTCGTTATTCGGAAGCAGAACAAATTGCAAACCTCCGAGCTGAAATCAGCCAGGTAAAGTGACCTTTCATTGCTAGAGCAATCTATTGATAAAGGCAAACAAACAAATAATACATGATGTCACAGTGAATAAACAGCAAGATAGTCTCTCAGAGAGGCCTTTCATGCTATCCTGTCAAATCCTTTGCTCGGTGTAGGAATGCCAGGACATTCCTAAGAGATGGTTGTTCAGCTGTGCAACCCGTGGTAATATTCTGAGACAAGAAAATAAATACATCACACACTTTGCAATTACCACAGTTTTCACTGTCCCTATTCTTAACTCCTTTTAATGCTGAAGTCGCACCTCAAATAGTGGCATTGTCTTTTTCACTTACTATTGAAATATTGCTTGAGCTCCTGTAATGTGCTGCTTCTTAGGAAGGTGTTTGGTGTATCGATATGGAAAGTAATGGGAGGTATGAAACCTTAACTGTAGTTAGCTTGTGATTTTTGAAATCTTCAACAGTACCTAACCAGTTCTTAAAACTGAGCAAACACAAGGTAACAAATATTTCAAAATCACAATTATAATAAATATTCTAAGCCTGGGCTTCCTCCATCATCATTTGGGGGTCAGGGAGTTGCTTACTTAAAGACTTATGAAAGGTTTGCCAAATTATTACACACAGAAGTAAAAAAAAAAACCAAAACATAAGGTTGCATCTACACTGAGAAATTGAGAGTGCATGTACACTATAGAATTAATTCAGTTTGGCCTCATGGCTGAATGCAATGGAATAGTGGGATTGGTAGTTTGGTGCAACATCAGCACTCTTTGGCAGAGAAGGTGAAAGACCTTGGTAAAATGGCAACTCCCAGGATTCCATAGCACTGAGCCAGGGCAATTAAAGTGGTGTCAAACTAAATTGATTCTCCTGCGTGAATTTACTCCGAAAGGTTGAACATCCACAAAAAGTGGAACTACCATGTTGCCAGAAGTGATGACAGACTGGGCTCTATCTAGAAGACAAGCAAATCCAAAGTAGTAAACTTTTAAAAGCACAAAAGAGCTCAATTTTTTTTGTAAAAATACTTGAAAGTGGTCATGTTTTATTTTTATTTTTAACTGTCATGACTGTAGCTATGAATACTTCAATCTTATTACATGGATATTAAAATATAATTATTTCAATATTTGTAGCTTAATCTAGAGATTGAAATTCTGCAGATGGAAAAAGATACAGCAGACATTACTAACCAATTCTACCTCAGTAAGTATTTCTGTTTTAAGCCATAATTTGACCTTCCAGATTGGAAGCTGCTATAGCTGTGATTGACATGTATTTTACATGAATGGAGCTTTATATCTTCATGTCTGTACATTTTTCTACTACATTGTTTGGTAAAGTTAGTACCATGTTCATAATAGTTAACATTTGATGGGGTATTTAAAGTTATTCAGTACTGAAGTAGTCTTAACTAAAAAGGCAGTGGACTCTCATCTTTTGTAACCTTTTAAACAGTGTTGAAAGTTTTAATAGGGAATTTCTGCACTGGCAGAAGATTGAATGAGATATTCCTTGTGATTTATTAATTTATTTAACTTAACATAACAAAGGCAAAATTTGATGCCTTGAACAAATATCAGCATAAAAACATATACATTAAAACAGTTATTTGATTCCTTTGAACTCTGCAGTTCTGATATTTTATGACTAGGTCCTTGGGGAAGGGAAGGTTCCATTGCACAAATAAATACACTTATGAATCATTAAATGGAGCCCTTTTACTTTTGGTTGATGTTTTGTTATTTTCTTGAGATGGAACCACATCCTGTATTATTTTAATATGTACATAAGATGCTTGAAACTCATGAACCTTCTGTTTAAGGAGATGCATACTCTTGAAAATATTCTGCTAGTTTTTTCACATTGCCATAGAAAATTAACCAGTGGCTTTGTTTTTACACATAGATAAAGCATGTGGAGCTGTGTGATTTATTTTTCAGGGCAATCATGCTTTCTGGGAGCTTCTTTTAAAACGCAAAGGGCAAAGTTCTTGTGTGCTGTGCCCTTGGATTTGTTACATAGGGTTTACTGACACAACATTATATTTTGGAGTTGTGTATATGGGATGGATATATTTTCCAAGCAGGCATGATGATGATGATGATGATGATGATGATGATGATGATGATGATGATGATGATGATGATGATGATGATGATGATGATTGTTGTGAATAGGGAAATATTTGGTCACATTTGAATTATATTCCAGAAGCACAGCGTATCTTGCAGCATCATGAAGAAACCGCTGATCATTATTTTCAACTGTTGCTGCTTATTTTGGAGTCTTGATTCTATAGGCATCTTTCAGTTTGATATGCAATAGTCAGCATCTGAAAGATGAGTCCACCCACTTTTTACGACAGCTGTGGAATAATGGTAGAAACTGCCAATATTTTGTGGACTGTTTTTCAAACTGTTGGAAAATTTTGTATTGAACCTGAGTTTTTTCTCACTGTTTGTTTAACTTTGTTGCTTTTAATTTAAAATTGTATTGTATAGCACAGAAATCCCAGGCTCTGCAAGCAATGAACAGGCACTTGGAAGCTGTACTGAAAGATAAAAGGGCTCTCAGGCAGAGGCTAGTAAGACCACTGTGTGAAGAAAGCCTTCCTATTGAAGCTGTCTTCCACAGGTAAAAAATGAAAAACATGTTTAGATAGAATGTACCTTCATTTCTTTTTTAGTAAATTACAAAACTGAAGTTTAATGCGTTAATATGCTAAAATGTCATTTACAGTGTACTTGAATGCTGAAAAAGGTTTTCAGCCTGTAACCAAACAGGCTATCAAGTACTCTACTAAGACAAGTTCTCTATAGCTTTCTGAAATCTAAATAGTTTATTGTCAAATCATGTTTGTGTGTTTTTATTCTGTAGCCTCCATATTTAAATGTTTTAACTTTAGTGAGTTTTTTAAAAAAATAAGTGGCTTTTAAGTCCCAGATTTTGGGGAAAGGATGGTATTTATTTACTGCATTTCTATCCCACCTTTCTCAGCCCGGAGGTGACTCAAGGCGGCTTACAACATTCAATGTCACAATGATCGTAAAACAGAATTAAAAACATTTAATGCACATTATAAAAACCATGTAAAAATCATTAAAAACGTATAATCACCAGTGACTTCCTGTTGTATGGATAAAGATTATAACAGTAGGCAGCTCTTTCATTTCAAAGCCAAGGGCAGGAAACATGTAGCCCCCTGGATGTCATAAGATTGTAATTTTTATCATCCCTCATCATCTGTTGTTGTGGTGGATGGGAGCTGCAGTCTAAAGCATCTGGAGTGGCACTGCTGCCAAATTAATATTCTCAAAAATGATTTAAAAGTGCATGTGGGGAATACTGTTGATAGGGCCTTCTTCAATAACTAATCAGTCCTCAAAAAACATTCTTGAATAAATGGGAGCTTGCCTGCCAGTGAAAGGAAAACAAGGCATTACCCTAACCACTTCCACAACCAGTTTTCAAGAAAGTCCTTTTTTGTTTCTGCATCAAATGAGGATAGCAGAACTGGGAGAAAAGGGAATCCCATAAATATCTTAAAACTCAAGACTCAAATGAAATCTATCACTCCAAAGGTATCCTGTAGTGGGAGCACATCACACTAATCTTATATCAAAGTACTGTCTACCCATTTGTTTTTGGGCTCATTTTTAAATTAACGATATAGGCCTTTAAGTCCTGGAACCAACTCTTACCAAAGGCCATGTGAACCCTTATGAATCTTGGGATCAGTTTTGGAGGCCCTGGTACAGATTTGGGACAGTACATTTTTCATAGTAGCTCCACTGTTATAGAATACCCTCTCTGGAAATATCTAGCAAGCTCCTCCTTACCATTTTTTTTTTGAATAATTTTTATTAGGTTATATATTAAGTACAACGAAAGAGGGTGAACATTTAGAAGAGGATAGAACAGTAGGAAAAAAAAATATAAGAAAAAGAAGGTCCAAGAAGATATATGTAAAAAAAAAACAAAAAAAACAATGAAGATAAAAATACAGAAAAAGTACACAAAAAAAACCCAAAAAACACACATATTAAAATAAAAAAGTTTGACTTCCATCTCCTCATCAGGTGTTGTGTCTCCAAAAAAAAAAATGTTTCCTTTGTTTTAAAATAGCTCTCTTATTTACTTTCTTCTTTCTCGTAACTGTCATAAAAGGTCCAATCTGTCCTCTTTATCGGGTTTCCGGTATTTTTTTTTAGAAAAAAAGTTAGTTCATCCATCTCTCTTATTTCTCTAATTTTCCCTAACCATTCTTCCTTGGTCGGGATACTGTCCTGTTTCCAAATTTTTGCTAAGGTAATTCTCGCTGCCGTCGTAATATAGGTAAAAAGTCTGTCCTCATTTTCCTGCAGTTGTAATTCCATGTCTGTAAAGCCTAGTAGATAATATTCAGGATTCTTCTTAAATACTTTTTTCAAAATTTTTTGTGATTCTTCGTGTATCGTAGACCAGTATTTCACTACTTCTTTACATGTCCACCACATATGATAAAAGGTACCTGTCTGCTGGCATCCTTTCCAGCATTTATCGAAAGAATTTTTGTTTATTAAAGATAACTTCTTTGGAGTGGTATACCATCTGTGGAACATTTTTATCCAGTTTTCCTTTAAATCTGTTGTATAGACATATTTCAGCTTTTTGTTCCACATCTGTTCCCACTCTCTGAATTGTATGGGTCTTCTTATATTTTCCGCCCATTTTATCATGCATGGTTTAACTTGTTCGCATTCCGTTAGCCAGGTTAGAAGTATATTATAAATAAATGAAATTACATTTTTCTTTAACTTCAAAATTTTATCCCATATTGATTCTTCCCAGGTGAAGCCTATCTTATTGTCCTGCTTAATATATTCTTTCATCTGTAAGTAATGCAACCATGTCAGATTCTTATTTTTTTTTTCTTTTAGTTGCTGATAGGTCTTAATCTCAGCTGTCTTCTCTATTAAAATATCTTTATAAGTTGGCCACACTCTCCAACCTAACAATCTTCTTTGATGTGCCTCCATTGGAGAAACCCACAGTGGCGTATTATTGTAAAAATAATTCTTATATTTCATCCATACTCTTAATAGAGATGCTCTTACAAAGTGATTTCCAAAATTTTTTTCTTTTTTCTCTCTGTCATACCACGTGTAGGCATGCCATCCTACTCGTAGATCATGGCCTTCTAAATTCAAACCTTTTTCATTTTCTAGCAACATCCAATCTCTGATCCATAGGAGAGCACATGCGTCATGGTAGGTTTTTAGGTCTGGGAATCCTAATCCACCTCTGGTTTTTTTGTCAATTAAATTTAAGTATTTGATTCTTGGTCTTTTTCCGTTCCACACAAATTTCAATAACTCTTTGTTCCAGTTTTTAAAAATTATTTGATTTCTGATTACGGGTATATTTTGAAATAGAAACAATAGTTTTGGCAATATATTCATTTTAATTAATGCTATTCTTCCTAATAAGGATAATTTCAGTGATTTCCAATTCTTAAGGTCTTTCTGTATCTTACTCCAAGCCATTTCATAATTGTTCTTCAACAATTGGCCATTCTTTGCAGTTATCCAAATTCCCAAATACTTTATTTTTTTAACAATTTCCATTCCTGTAACCATTTCTATCTTCTCCTGATTTTCCTTCTTTACATTCTTAGTTAGGATTTTTGTTTTTCCTTTATTCACTTTGAAGCCTGCCACTTTTCCAAACTCGTGCATTTTCTTTATCCAATTCTGAAGGTTGTTTGTTGGGTCTTCCACAATCCCCAACAGATCATCCGCGAAGGCTTTGATCTTATATTCGTATTTCCCTACTCTTACTCCCTTAATATTTGTATCTTCTCTTATTTTCCTCATCAACGGTTCCAAGGCCATAATAAAAATCAAAGGGGATAACGGACATCCTTGTCTCGTTCCTTTCGTGATTGTAAATTCTTCAGATTGTTGGCCGTTTATCCGAATTTTTGCTCTTTGTACTTCATAAATTGCATTAATTGCATTTGTAAATTTTGCCCCCATGTCCAATTCTTGAATCAAAATCTTAAAGAAGTCCCAGTTTAGATTATCAAATGCTTTTTCTGCGTCGACTGATAATATGGCAGCTTCCTTCTGATGATTCACTTCAAAGTATTCTATCAAATCCAAAACTGTACGTATATTCTCTTTCATATATCTTCCTGGGAGGAACCCTGTTTGGTCTTCCCCTATCCAATCTGTCAAAAATTCTTTTAATCTTGTCGCCAAAATATTCGTAAATATTTTGTAGTCTACATTCAATAGGGAAATAGGTCTATAATTTTTAATATCCTCTGGTGTTGAACCTTCTTTATGTATCATTACTATTTCAGCTTGGTTCCAAGATTCTGGAATTATTTGATACAATAATGCCTCATTCAGGATCCTTTTCAGTATTGGTAAAAGAGTTCTCTTCATTGATTTGTAAAATCCTGCTGTAAATCCATCCGGGCCTGGGGCCTTGTCTGCATCCATTTTATTCACCGCTTTGTCTATCTCTTCTTCCGTAATCTCTTTATTCAGCTTTTCCCGTATCTCCTCTGAGATTTTTTGTAATTTCAATTGGCTTATATACTCAGTAATTTCCTCTTTCTTTATTCCGTCACTGGTGTATAATTTACTATAATATTTCTTAAATTCCTCCATGATTTCCTTATCCGTCGTAAGTGTTCTATCTCCCTCAATTATTTTCGTTATCTGTGTGGCCTGCTTCTTCTTCCGGACTTGTCTCGCCAACCATTTCCCAGGTCTATTCGCATTCTCAAACGTTTGCTGTTTCAAAAATTTTAGCTCTCTTGCTTGTCTTTCCATCTCCAGGCGGGACTTCTCCTGTTTAAGTCTCGCTAATTCTTTGTTCAATTTTTTACTATCCGGTTTCTTTTTTAACTCTGTCTCCTTATGCGCAATTTTGTTCATCACTTCCTTCATTTGTTTATTTCTTTCTTTATTTTTCCTAGCTCCATGTTGAATGAGGCAACCTCTTAACACAGCCTTCAGTGCGTCCCACGTTACTTGTGTCTTTGTCTCCTCAATATCATTAATTTCTAAATAGTCTTTAATAATTTTATTATAGTGTATTTTATCTTCCTCTGTCTTAATCAAGTTTTCATTTAGTCTCCATTTTCTTTGAAAATTCTTATAATTTATTTTTATTTCCAATGGACAGTGATCTGAGATGTTTCTGGGTAATATTTCAATTTCTACTACCTTAGTAGCTAAATTTTTTGTAATCCACGCCAGGTCTATCCTTGCCCATGTTTGGTGTCGATAAGAATAGAAGGTATAATCCTGTTTCTTTTCGTTTCTAACTCTCCAAGTGTCTTCCAGATCAAATTCTTTTTGAAGTTCGAAATTTTTTTGCGGTAACAGCCCCCCTCCGTCTCCATTTCTTTTTGACTTATTCTTGTCTTTCTTCTTGTCCATCACTCCATTAAAATCACCTATCAATAAGAGCTCATCAAATTCTGTTTCTCTCAATTTTGTAGATAAAAATTGGATAAATTTAGTCTTTGGGCCATTTGGAGCGTATATATTACATACCAAAATTTTCAAACTACCCATCAAAATTTTAACTGCAACACATCTTCCTTCCACATCCTTAAATGCCAATTCCGGTGCCAA